GAAAGCCACTGCACAGGACTCTGATTGCTTCCTCTCCTTAGAGTAATTGTTGTTGTGTTAGATAGCAGGACTCTGCTTCTTGAATGGCCTGAAGTTGTGTCTGAGGAGGTTTAGGCTGGATATTAGGAAAAGGTTCTTCACCCAGTGAGTGCTTGGGCACTGGAATAGGCTCCCCAGAGAGGTGGTCACAACACCAGCCTGACAGAATTCAAGGAGCATTTGGACAATGCTGTTAGGCATATGGTGTGACTCTTGGGGTATCCTGTGTAGAGCTAGGAGCTGGACTTGCTAATTCAACTCAGCATATTCTGTGATTCTGTGAGTCCTGGGGCTTGACTTCATCATCTGGATGTGCCAGCTCAGGTTGATCACAACACATCTGTTTCCACAGCAAATGAGTCATCTGATGCATTGTTGTGTTTGTCCCTTTGTCATCATGGTAACTGTTGCAGGTTTTTTTTACTGAGCCTTATGCTCAGCTTTAGGGCTGATCCCAACCTTTCCTTTCATGCAGTCTTTTACAGGTCAATGATGAAACTAGTTTCATGTTTAAAAACCCAAACAAGAGCAAAAAGCTCATCTCCAAGCCTGATTTTTCTGAACTAGTGAATGTCACAGCTTCCAACTGAAGCATAACATTCAAAAAGGAATAAAGAGAGCAGCTTTTATTATTTTCATGATGCCTCCTGCTTCTAGCTGCACTACAGCAGTCCCTGTCTGTCTTTCTTCAAGTTCTGCTCACTGAGCTGCTACCCAGTCCCTGCTGTCTCTCTTGCTTCTCTGCTCCACTTTTCATTTTTCTTCATTCCCATTTTGTTTATCTCTTGTTCCACCCTCCCATTTCCCAATCTCTTTGCCTCTGGCACTCTTAGAACAGCAACGCCCACAGTGCTGATTAATCTCTTAACAAACCTCAGATTCAGTAGCAGGAGTTGGAACTCTACCAGGTTTTGGAGAAGACTCTGACCTTCATCCTGGACTGCCTCAGCTGGACTCAAACATGCCAGAAAGGAGGAGATGCAATTGCTTTAATGCTTTTCATCTGTTAATCTGGATGATTCACTTCAGAACTGTGACAATTTCTGTAACCCTACATTTGAGCAGTCTCTTGTGACTCTTCTTATTTTACACGCCAGTATTTACTGGAATGAGAGAATGGAGGACACCAAGACCTCTTCAGGAATGTGCAGAGGTGGATGGTTACAAACAGTTTGGTTGCACAAAATCTGTGAACCTTAGTGAAATGAAATCTAAATATATAATCTTATATTTCCAAATAGTGCAAAATCAAAATTTAAATTGCAGTCAGCAACTTACTCTGTAGGAATATCAGCAATAGGAACCATATGGAACTTTCATACCATCTCAGTAATATTTTATCCCCAAGTTCCTTGTTTCACCAGTTAAACTGGAGAATTCTTAGATAAATGTGCATGCATTCTCTGTGAATAACTATTTCTGGAATCCTAAAACACACTCCTGTTGATCTTTGGCAAGCTGGCAAGTTGTAAGTTGTGTCCTGCTCTTCAAAACAGGATGAAGACTATTTGTGGTCTAGTTTGTCATCTTAAGTTAAGCAAGAGATGAGAACAGGTTGTCCTGAGAGGGTGTGGATGCCCCATCCCTGGAAGTGTTCAAGGCCAGGTGCCCTGACCACTCTGATCTGGCGCCTGACATTCCTGCCCATGGCAGGGGGGTTGGAACCCTCCTGATCTTAAGGGCTCTTCCAACCCAAGCCATTCTATTATTCTAGGAGTTATATCTCTGATGGTGCTTTTAAGCTGACTCTATCTTTACCAAGCAGTCTTCAGTTTGAAGAGGAATTGTCCTAATGTTTTTATTTCTTCAGCATGAGAATTGCAAGGCTGGATGTCAGAGCACTGCTGCTTCTTTCTGACATAAACTGCATGAAAGAAATAACCTACAGCATTTTTAATTTATGGTATTCAATACTGGGATATTTTTATTACTCTGGAACAGAGACTATGGATGCCAGTGAGATGCAAATTTTAAATGAGTATATACTTTCCAAAATGAATTCAGTTTGTGACCTCTGTTGATCCTGACTCGGTGCCAGCTATTTTTGAGTTGGTGTCAGCAGTATTGATGCCATATTTATCAGGAGCTGAATGACAAGATGAGATGATCACAGTGCTTTTAGGTGGCAATAGTGATTGAGCTGGGTTAGAGCAGGAAGTGTAGATGCAGGATCAGCATTTCACTCCTCATCCCTAATGTTCTGCTGCTGCTTAGGCCTTTCTCTGTTACAGTGCCTACCTAGGGAAAGACAGTAAGTCAGACAGATTTCTGACTGACTTTTTTATTCACTTTCCCTGATGCCTGATGAAAAATCGTTGTATCATTTGCCATGGAGCTTGTTCTCAGGTGTTAGACTGAGTTTTATGCTCCAAGATAGTTATTCCTGTCATGATAAAAGCTGCTTAAGCAGGGATGTCTTGTTACTAAAACTAAACTGGTTTAACTTCATGGTTTAATAATTCTGGTAATAAGAGAAGTAATAAGTGTGGCAAGAATCACCTACTGAAAAATTATTCTCAAATTCAAATAAAGTAAAAGTTTAGACTGTTTAAACATTTATTTCCTTATATTGAGTTCAAGGAGGGGGTGGTGGTATCAAAACAGCAGAAAACATAGCTAGTTCTTGACAAACAGTACTGAAGTTCAAGAATATCTAAGCAGCAAATAGGTCTAGAGTTTTTTTGTCTTTATTATTTATAGTTATCTATGTGGATTTTATTGTTCTGAAAAATTACTTAAATCTGGGTGATTCTTAGCAACATATGTTGTGTCCTGGTCTGAACTGGACAAACTGCTCACTGACCTTGAAGCCTGCAATGTTTTTGCATCAAAGATAAGTTTGCCTGCTTCTTGGCATACACATCAGGAGTACTGTAGAAAAGACTTGAAACTCACAGGAAATATGAAAAGCTGAATGAAAAACAAATAGAGTTAATGTCTTTGTTTAATGCATTTCTAAAATGAAAGTTAGGCTTTAATTTCTAAAATGCAAGTTTGCACATTAAAGCTCTCCTCTTCCAAAGTTACCATTAAAAGAACAACCGTTGCTTACTGGCAAATTATTTATGGAAGCTATGTCTGTAGATTCCAGGTTTTTTAGCTACATTGTGCTCTGTCTGGGTCAGATTGACAGAGTTTTATTTTGCTGGGACTGAGCTGAAACACTTTGGAAGTGTTAGGTACCTAGTGCAGAAATTCCCTGAAGGTCTGTATGATGACAGCATTGCCTTCTTGGAAAGCCTCTCACAGATACCATGTTCTTCATATTCTCTAGAGTTTTAAGAATTAGTGGATTCTCTTTGTCTCCAAATAAAGCCAACGGAACTAATGCATGTAACAGCTGTGTCTATAACCACCTATTCTGCTTTTTATTTTACTTTTACAGACATGAAGTCTGAACAGAATGTTAAGCAGGATATGAAGTTGATGTTTTAGTGACCCAAACAGAGCTCAGCATTGTAATGTCAGTGCTTATACATGCTTTGGCCCTCAAGATACACATTTTTCACTCTGTTGGACCAGATGCAATATCTTTACCTTATTAATGTGAGGATGTTTCCCTTTCTCATTCAGTTGTACAAATACACAAAATTATCTGCTTTAAAAGTCACACTTTTCTTGTACAGCATACCTGTGCAGAGCTAACTGAATAAGAGAAAATTTGAATCTTGGCTAAAGGTAATTTAAGGACAAGTTTTACAGATCAAATTTTGCTGTTTGATTTCATTGGGATTGGTACCTGAATGCTTTTAGCTTGCCCACCCACAACCACTCCCCCAAATAATTTGTAGGACTCAGGCTTCAACATAGGTACATAATTCATACAACATTTGGTAAGAGAGAGCTGTGAATAACTGAAGCAAAGGATGGGGAAATCTAAGCTGTAAAACCCACCTGGATTATGATGAGCTGTTCACAGGAACTCTGTGTTCTCTGAAAGTGGTATATAAGAAACAAATGTTAAATATTTTAACTCATGTTATTTAACATAGGTAATGGTAAACCCAGGAATAATTCATAAAAATGGATTCAGCTTCAGAAAAAAAATTTTAGGAAATCCACAAAGTGATGGGAAAGTACATTACCATGACTGTAAAATCTCAAGGTACTGATGGAGAGCTCACACAAGGTCTTAATGCAAAAGCCAGGTGCACACCAGAGAGAGGGACACAGGATGGACTGGACCTGGGAGAATTTTTTTTTTCCATTTATTATCCTTATTATTAAGCACATTGTATGTTTTCCACTAATAGGGAGCCAGTTAGACAAAAGATGCAACTGTACTAAAAGGGCACACAGGGGAGGGAGTTGGAGCAGTGCCCTTCTGCCCCAGGAGAGATCTCTGGCTCTCCTGTAATGGCTGAAATTCTTTCAAACACTCTAAATAATTACTCCATAAGATGATTGAAAAATCAGGAGAGTTTGCAGGGGAAGGGGCGATGGTGATGTTAGTTAATCAGAGCTGTCAACTGGAAAGACATGGGTATGCCTAAAAAAGAGGAAGGGATTCAATGGAAAGAACAGATCTGTTTTTCTTTGTCACTTGTGGGCACCATGTTTAGTTACAGTGCTTTGTAAAACTCCAGTGTGCTAGGACTAAATGTCATGCTGACTTAGGATGGGCACAATCTCTTTAAACTTGCACCATTCACATTTAGATGGAACTAGGAGAAAGATGAGAATTTTCTCTTTCTAAGTTGTAAGGAGCTCAGTAAGATAACTATTAAAAAAAATTGATAATATGATTTCGGCATACTTTATGTCTTCTCAATAGCCATATTTCATATGTTTTTTTTTAATGTGCAAGTCTTTTTTCATGAGGGAAAATATTCAAGGTATGGTTGTTTTCTTCTAAACTTTCACAGATGTAATTCTTATGTAAGCTAAGTTCTTCTGTTACCTGCATGGTGTGTTGTTCTTACACCAGGAAAACTGAATTCATGTCTCCTCATGTGTTTCAGGTCAGCAAATTCCACCCTTAGATCCTCATGAAAACAGTAACAATGGAGCAATCAAACTTGGAAGGCAGGCTTCACAGACGGGTAGGCGGTGCTGCTGACCCAACTTGATCTTTTCAGATTTACTTGAAAAACAGCACCATTTGCTTTTTTTTTCACTGAGAAAGGACTTCGTGATCTCAGTGACGTGGCTCCTTATCTTGAAAGCAGTAATTTCAATACTTCCCATGAGCAATAACGCAAGGACCAGAAGCAGAAGGCTTTACTTCAAAGGGATTTTGCAAAACCCACTTGGAAAATCCTCTCTAATATCCTGTCAAAATTACAATGTCAGAGTACTCCAATTCTCTGTTTAAACCAGTGACTGTTTTCTTTTTTTTTATAAACGGGAGTTTTTTTTTTTTTTTTTTTTTTTTTTTTTTTTTTTTTTAAATAAAAAGATCAATTTTTAAATAAAATTTAGGCTTGCTGCAAAAACTTACTTTCTTACATTTGCAAAGTGGACTTGGCATGTTTTTAGAGTTTTCTCTGTAATAATAGGGTGAAAAAATTCCATAAAACCTGAATTTTGGGTTACAGTTTCTCTGCCATCTTTTTAGCTGGACTCTGCTTCATGATTTTTCTAAATCTGCAGCTTCATCTCCTACTTTCAGTAAACATCAGCAAGAAGTGGACTGAATTTGCTAACTGAAGAAAAAAAAGGATCCAAAGTATGAGAGAATGCAGTTTTTATGGAATGGAAGTCAAAATCGGTGTCAGGAAGTGCTGTGTATGTGGAAGAAGGAGTTGTCATGGAATCTAAAAAAACAAACGTGAATGTTTGCTTACAGATGTAATTCCCTGAATTTGTAGAGTAGTCTCCTCAATTGTCTGGGGATGTGGTGTGGAAGGCACACTATTTGATAGCTTTGAAGCGTGATGCACTTGGAAATGCAGTGGAGGAAAGAATTCCTACAGAGAGTTATGAAGTGGAAATAATGTAAAACCGTATGTGTTTTCAACTTCTGTCTTTTATGAATGTGTGTGACTGAGAGGATAAAATCCAAATTTATCTTCTTCATCAATTTCATTGGAAGTGGGAATTAGAGTAAGAAATGCTATATTCAAAGCCAGAGCCCAGCCTGAATTCCACAACATTAATTTGCTCTCTTATGAGGAAAATTATCACCACTGCACATTTTCAGGAGGGCTTATGAAAAGCAAACAAAAGGGGAAAATAACTTTCCACAATAAATCATGAGCAGGCAGCCTAGAGCGTCATTTCCGTGCTGATACACAGAAACCAGACCTTATTGGCTGGTTGTGAGATTGCTTAGATTAAATGTCACTAATTGTTAGGGCTTGAAACAGAGCCAGATAAAATCAACAGGAACATTTTGTCTCCAGAGGTTTTGGAGTAGCATAGGTGGGAAATATCTCTCTGCATTTTATTTGAGAACCTAGGCTGATTGTTTTTTTTTCACATATAAGTAGTTTCTCCTGTATTTTAGCCTCCTTTGAAAATACTCATTCTAGAAAATATGGCCTTGGATATTTTAGCTAAACTTTCAGTTTTCAGCTGTGCTGATATATGATCCATGTCTCTGACTCATTGCAGCAACTATTTTACTGATAATCTAGGGGTATTTAAGTGAAAATTCAGTAATCATCATTGTTGTTAGCTGGGGAAGGAGACAGGCTCCTTTTGGGAACATTTAATTTCATCCCGGTACAAGCAAGTCTACCAGGGATGCCTTGCTCTTTCACTTGGGTGGGGAGGGAAAAGCTTAACGTGGCCTTCAGTGCTAAGGAAATAGCAAACTTACCGACATCACAGGTTCATGCATTTTATGGGGTCTATGATCCAATGCTGGAAGAGATATTATTCCTCCTAAGTAAAACCCTAAGAAAGAGGCTAGACCAGTTACCCGGAAAACAAGGTGAGATTGAACCCATGTTTTTAGAGGTGTCATAAACTGTAGTTCAACATATAGCAGTTATCCATAATTGATTTTTAAGCTTTTGTAAATGATTGTTACATATTTCTATTTTTTTTTATCATAGCATCTCAAAACTTAGTAAATCCTAACTGAGATGTCTGAAAGCTTTGTAAGACTATTTTGTGAGTACCTTGTATACTAATGTATGTTAGAACTGGCAATTGATACTGATCTTTATGGCATGTTATCCTGAACAACCAGCTCTCACAGCTGGCTTTGAGCAGTATGTGAATCAGAACAGGTTTATAAGTTATATGTTAAAACAGTTTTAAATTGCAAGTTTTTACAATGGATCTCTGACAGATTTTAAAATTTGAATGGTGACTAAATAGGTTTTGCTTTTGGTGGGGCAAATCTAAATGGCTTTATTCTGCTTTTAGTAAAGAAAAATATTTAAATTAATAAGGAATCTGATTGTAGAAGTTCTTGAGATTTGAGTTACTGGAAGCTTCACTAGGGAAGTCTGAAGCCAGAAGAAAACAGGCTAATGTGCTGTGCAGATATCTTGCATTTTCCCTGAACACAGGGCTCACCTTTGACAATATTGTTTTCTCTGCTGTTTGTCAAAGCCAAGGTGCTTCCAATGGGCCAAATGTTTGTTAAAAAAATAGTGATGTTAAAATGTAAAATTAATGATTTCTGCTTCCATTGGTTGCCTGTTTTCTTGGGAAGTACCACCACCCTCATAAACAGCCAGAAAAAATGACAGAAAACCTCCCAATCTCAGAGTTGAAGTTTTAGCAGCAACTGGAATCCCTCTTAGTAGTTAATGGCTGGTGAAAAGCTGAATTACTGTACTGGAGCACCTGACTGTGTAACTGATCTTCTCTCATAATAATAATAATTATTATAATTAATAATAATAATATCAACACTGCAGTTCTTGGTTAGCCAGCTGGTGCTGGATTTGTCCAAGACTGATTTTCTCAAGAGAGCTGGCAGCAGGACTGAGGCACAGGCCGTAGTGCCAAGGATATTTGGTGGAGCTTGTTTGCACTGTGACTCAGGACTGTGACTGTCCAGTTGAGGGTGACTTGCTTTTCTGGCTTGTCATGAACAAGTTTAAAAAAAGAATTATGAAGGAACTAGTTTTTGTATATGCTCTGCATATATGTGTGTATATAAAGTACAGTTTTATATTGTTCTGCTGAACAATATGTAGTGTTTTCTCGCTATGTCTGGTTCTCATATACTACACATTGTATTCTGTAAGTACATTTCTCTGCTAATGATCATTTCACCTTTGTGAACTTGAAGTTGTGGATCAAAGGTAGCAAGAAGATAGAGATATGCATAGGTACAATTTTTGACTTGCCATTCTTGTGCATGAAATGGCATATTCTAGAAAATGTTTGTCTTGCAGACTGAGAAATCTAAAAACAGCCATTATTATTCAGGAATTGGAACTTAGAAGTAATAAAGTGACATTCAAAAAGCTTACTATTTTTGCTCACAGTACAACATGTTATCTAAATTGCTGCAATGTAATATGAGTCTGTATCAATACCTAAAAAACTTATTAGTCATCCCATGTCTTCACTAATCCTTCATGGCACATGGGAATAAGCGTGATTAGACAGATTACATGTGTGAGCATTCTGGCTGTCATCAGACTGTTTCACTACAGTGATATATTTTACTAACCTACCCTTAATTATTTAAACCAGAGTCAGTGATAAATTTCCAGTTTAAAATCACCTGCTCGGTACTCTTCCTCTGTTCTGTTTATATAAGGGCTTTGATTGGGCTGGACCCACTCGCTTCATGTATGGGATGCTGCAATCTGTTAATACTTTACCTTCTGTTTTACATATTAATTGTATCATACCTAATAATATTTTCCCCCTAAAATGTAGTTTTTGTGTTTTATTTAACCTACAATGATTAATGCTAATAAATGTTTTAAATTTCTCTGAATTGGGGCTATCTCTGGTTTCAATAAAGCAGAACAAAATAGCTCCTATTTTGCACGTCCTTTGCTCTTGGAAAAGGGCTGTCTGCAGTCTGTGGATTACTTGCCTGGGATTTAAATGCTGCTTGAAATGTGTGTGGATGGCCTTTTAACAGAAAGTGAATGCATTCCTGGGGGATCCTGCAGTCCAGATGAACTCCCAAAAACCAGAAAAAGAAGATTTGAAAATCCTTTTGCTAATATTTGATTTATCCATTAGAAGAGAGGGACCTGAGTGGCCAGCATCTGCTTAGAAATTTAGAATAGTAGCTGTCAGTAGAAAGTGAGCTTCCAGTTACCACTTGCTTTGAATAGGAGCAATGACTAGTATGGCTTGTAAGACACTTCATCTTTTGTATGCTTTTATTTTGATGTACATTTATTTTTTCGCCCTACTTTATGTCCCTCCTTCAGACTTGTGTCTAGAAGAATTAACGCTCTCTTAAGAAATATACAGTATTTCATTCCCTTTGGTGCTATTGTTTCAAGAGGTATTTAACTACACCAGCTGATTTTTGCACTGTTTGTTTCATATTTTCACAGTTATTACAACAACTATGAGGACTATGAATGAAGAGCTGGGTTTTTAAAGGAAAAACAGGCTTTTGGAGTAAGACTTTTCTGACTGCCATGATAAATTCAATACATAGCAGTATGCAAGAAGCAGTGTAACTCAAATAACAGCACAGAACACCACTTTTCTGTGTAATGAGAAACCAGTGTTTCAAAGAGGTTTCATATGTGGTGAGTTTAGTTACTGCTGGAAGACACACAGGATCTGTTCCCTGCTTTAAAGGAATTACAATTATCTTGAAAAAATGTATCTTACCTCTAGCTGTGCATAAACAAGAAGGAACCCAGGTACATAACTGTAAACTAAAGGGTGATGTACTTAATTAATGGAACTCCTAAGCCCCTTAACTATTGTCTGTGTGTTGGAAGATCTGAAGTGAATGCTGTTTTGCCCTTAGGTGTTTGAAGAGGGTTGTGCCCTTGAATGGATCAGTCCTTGTGTTGTCCCTGGGATGTTTTGCATGGCCTGGAAGCATGTGCTTGTGCTGCTCTAGGTTGAAGTTGAATTTAGCAATGAGAGGGGAGCTATACAATTGACTGGAAAATAAATCTCCTCAGCTTTCCTTTTGAAGATTGAAGGTTGTGTCTCAAGGAAAAGTATTTGACATTTCAGCCTTCAAAATCTTCACCACTGCAGCTTCAGTCTCTGCAAAGAACATCATAGGACACCCTGCTGTGATCTCCTGACCACTGCACTGAAATCTGGACAGCAAGGCTGATGAAATAGTCTGTGTAGCTACTTCATACCTCCACCCCCTCACCTAATCTGCAAAACTGTTCAGGCCACTACCAGGTTTCCCTCCTTTCCCTGAAAGGAAAACAGTAAGCTGCAGGATTATTTTTTATCCCCTCTC